AAATGGACAACCGCATCCCCGGACTAAAGGCTTTGATCGCAAGCCGCTACTCCTATGCTTTGTTGTCCAGCCGTGCGAGCAGATATATGTGTGCTGATACGCACCCCGCTAAGGCGCAAGATGAGGAACAACGATCGTCGAATCTCAAGGCGGTGTTACGAGGAGAACTCGAGGAGCTTGGATACAGAGTAGCACTCGACGCGCTAAAGTTAGCCGACAAGCTCGTCCTTACGGATGATAACATACTTCACTATCTCGGAGCTAGCCGCCGGAGCTAGACACAGCAGCAGGACGACGTCCAGCTATGACTCGTGGCAGGAAGTCCTTTAGCTGTCATGACTCTCTGGAAGGTGGACACCAAGGTATAGTGTGGACCTATCAGCGTGGTAGGCGCGACTACTACTGGCATGAGCTCAACACTGATGTTGAAAGACGCGTCAAGTCTTTTCCGGACTGTAGCTCAAGTAAGAGCCGACCTTACCTCCGTGGATACTCGCCGGGTAACGTATTAGCCGAACGAACATTCCAGATCGTCTCTATGGACTTTGTGATACCACTGCCGAAGTCTCGACAACGGAAAACCGCACTTCTGCTATTTCAGCGTGCTTTCACTGAATATGTAATCGCCAAGCCCATGGCGGATACAGATGTCCTCAGAGTTGCCCACGCAGTTAGGGAAAACGTGTACCGAAGATTCGGAACACCTTCCCGCATAAGGCATGATCGCGATACAAGGTTCATGAGCGAAGTCTTTCAAGCTTTCGCTGAAATGACGCAATCAAGATCAAGAGCGACATTGAGATATCGGCCGCAAGCTAATGTACAACAAGAAGAGCGATCAGTAAAGATCGTGATCCAATCTGTTAGAGTATATATTGAAGACCCGCTGCAACAGATCGGGACGAAATCGCTGAGCAACAGGTGTTTGCCATCAGCAACTCGCAGGAAACGACGCGGAAGGAGACACATTGCTATATTGTGCATGGCTCGGATGGTCACACGACGCCCACAGCTATGCCGTCGTCGATCCGTCAAGGGGGTAGCAGGCAATCGCATTAGCGTGGCGTCGAGAAGAAAACCGACAACACGAAATCGCGCTGGAGATGGCGAAGGAATACCAAGCTACGGAGAATATACGAAGAGCTGATAAGCATAACGAGGCTAAGAGCGAGCGGTTGCTCCTCGAAGTGCACAGCGCGAGCCCACGAAACATTGCGACGATGACTCGCAAACCCTTCAGGAAAGAAGCAGCAAAGCACCGAAGTCTCTCTTTGAACCTAGCCGTCGCGTTTGGCTTTACATGGAACGCGTGAGACCCAGACTCACAAAAAACCTCGCCCGCCGTTGGCACAGACCCTTCCGGATCAAGAAGAAGGTGGAGGAGTTTGCCTATGAGCTCGAGTTGCCAGATAAGAGCGGGTACAGATTTTAATCAGTAGTGCATGCCTCCGGATTGAAACCGGTTTGCGAATTCGAAAGTAGGCTTACGATAAAGTTGACGGAGGGTTTCGCCGATGACTCAAGATTCGACTTCGACGAAGAACTGCTTCCTGAAGATAGCTGGCAGCCAGACCAACAAGCAGGCGAGTATGAAGGCGAAGCGATTCTTGATGACAGGACACCACTCATGACGACGACTGAAAGAGCTGTCCGCGAGTTCAAGGCGAAGTGGATTGGTTACGACGAGCTTATGTGGGAGTCGATGTCAAATCTTCCGTGTGGAGGATTACTTTACGACTACTTGCGACATAAGAGGAGCGAGCGTTGTCTTCAAATGGTACAAGTGGCCGATGAGGACTAACCAGTGAGTTATTGCCAAGGGCGACACGTACATGGGGCAATGCAGCCCAAGCCTACATATGAAGCAGTTACTGCAGACGGTTATTGCATATTGTATGAAACAAGAACATGAACGTGTTGGAACGAAAGGGTAAGAATGACTTTCGAGCCCGACCTACGACTATTCGACGGAAGCTACAGCTGGAACGGTTGGAACTCAACAGACGCAGCGAAGAATGAACTACATCGCTGAAGTACCAGCCGAATCGCCTGGGTTAGCATTATTAGTCACCCTGGCAAAGAATCGGAGAAGATCTGCGTCGTTGATGACCGACGAGCGCTCTGCTGCAGCATCAGAAGCTTATTCTCCGGAAGAAGCAGGATCCGTAGCTGCCCGAGGCACTCTGAAGTCTACATTTCAGTTTGACGAGAATTCGGTGCTCGATAGCAGTGGGTTCACTTTAATCTGGCGGCACACGGGTCTCACCAGCACGGACGCAACAGCGGAAACCTAACAGTACATGGTGCGAACGTCGAGTTGTACGGGTGCAGAGCAGGTGTGTCGACCCATTCATGCGCCATGGTTCGGCAGAGTCCAACGCAGGAATATGCTCAAGCCAGTTAGAAGTTGGAGGTATTAAAGTCAGGTATTCGAAAGAATAGCCGCTCGAACAAAATTTCCGGAGCGATATTACGAACCGAGACTCAGCACAGAAGCACCATTGACACAAATTGTAAATAATCATGACGCGAAGTCAGTCAGCACGCTTGGTCCGACCGATGCCATACTCATCCCAGGCCGCCTTGTTATCGTTTAAAGCAAGCTTGATAGCAGCTTTGATACCGTAAGTGAGTATGATGTCTTCAGCGAGAGCTCGGTAACCAGCCTCCCAGAACAGCTCAATCGCGCAAGCTTCAACCCAGTGTTCTTGCTCCCAAAGCGAGAATCCAAGATCAGAGTCATCTTCGGGACCACTTCCACAAAAACTACGCCAATATTATTTGAGACGACGTAATGGTGGAGCTCGCTGCGAAACGTGAGAATCAAGATCGAAGTCTTCAGTACCAACCAGACAACTTGCGGAGGAAGCAAACGAATAACTATCTGCCACGGATGATCCGGGTCCCGGATATCGGCGAAAGCTCGAATGAACTTGGCACAACAAACGAGCTTAGTCTTCGGCGGAAGTGGAGACGATAGTCGATTGTTCAGGATCTAGATCCAGCACTTGGTCGCGCCATGAAGAGTGAAAGGAGGTTTCAGGTAGGCCAAAACCATTTGGCGACCTGCTTGGAGAACCGTACAAGTTGCGGCGAGCCGCGTACGGGCGCAGGAAGCGGTACGATTGGACGCAGCGATTGTCGATCCGAGTTAGGCGTCGATGACAGGGTGACCACGACTCGTACTCCGCGAGGAGAACGACGTGAAGCTGGAGCGGCCCAAATTCCGGTTGCTGGAGAGATAATAGACGTTGCGTCAGGTGGCGTGTTTCTTTCGCCTACTGGTACCACATCGGTATTGGTATCCTGACGACCGGTACTCGAAGTCGTGACCAGAGTCAGAGATTCACCAAGAGGCAGCTCTTCGGTGCTCGTTACCGGAGATTTCCTATCTGCAGAAGAAGGAGCTGCCGACGGGAAGTTTATCGCTAGACTCCGCAACAAAGGGCTCTAGACTCCGCGACGAAGAGCTACGGCCAAACTTGACCCCGCGCGAAGCGCGTAGGGTACATAAAGCGAGCGCAGAGAGCATGCCGGCGGTTTGTAGATCGTGTGCGTAGCACGCGGGTGCAAACCCAAGTCCGATAATGACCATCACTATCAAGCGAGGCCTGCATGCGGGTCGTAGCGGGCTAAGGTTTAGCCTCCACGTTTTGGGTTTGGGTTTCAGGGGTATATTTAAATGACGCCTCGTCTTCGTTGCGGAGTCTAGCGACAAATATTACTGCCGACGACTGACCAACTGCATATTTAGAAGACACAGAGTCGCGTTCATCATTGGAATCAAGAGCGACGGTTGCCATGGACTCAGCATCGGAATCGGAATCGTCACGAGATGTAGCCTCTTGGGTTGCCAGCAGCGATAGTCGCAGAGTCTGGACAGTACGTTGCGCTTCAGCATCGGCAGCAGACATCTCTGACGCAGCCTCCAACAATTGCAGCGGCTTAGATTCAACCGGAACAGTGAGTCGAGCCACAGTCTGAGCATCAGATTCATCACTTGACGAGAAGTCAGGATTCATGATATCATCGAGCTCCATACCTTCACCATCGGCAGTTTGTTCCAACTCGAGCTGCAGCGATTAACAGGACGACGACCGAGCAGCCTGCTGACGAGTCGGGCGGCTCTTGCAGAACGGTGGTTCAGCGTCATGGGCTACAGCATCCGGCTGGCAAACTAGTGACGTGTTTGAAGACTCGGCAACAGCCAGGGTATCGTTTGGTGCATGAAGAACATTTTCGACTTCTTGAGGACTTGCATCATCAGGTGTAGACACCGAAGAGGGCGGAAATAGGAACGAATCCCCGAAGAGAAGTCGATGGTGCTGGAGGGACTGGAACTTGCTTTTCGATACTTGGAGCTGATGAGAATTGAACCTGGAGCATGAGTTTGGCAGAGGCTGTGCACAGGAGCGCGGAGTGATCACAGGAGAAGGAAAATGCTTTTGCGACTTGGATGCAGGTCTCTTACCTTGAGCTACACGCTTTAGTGAGGGTGCCGACGAGTCGGCACTTGCAGAAGCATTCCGTCGATGTTTACGGGAAGTGGAAAATTGAGCCTTGCGCTTGGAGATACTCTGCTGGACCTCAACGTACACGTACCACGTGACGTGCGACGCGCTGCTGCAGCACGATTTTCTGGCGACAGGTCGAGATCGTCGCCCTCGCGGCAAGTAACACAAGCCAGACAAGCAGCAACATGGGGTATGTCGTATCGGCAGTCTCATTCAAACGCCGAAGGATAGTACGAGTTTGCCCGCTCATCTCGAGCAATTCCCAGTATAACTCGCCAGTTGGGATCCCAGATAAATGAGTCAGCAAACATGAGTCAGCATACCTGGAAAGCTGCTGAAAAGTAGACAAAGATGTGACGAACCTTCGATGACAAGCACCAAGACATCGAGATCCATCTCTTCCAGGTTTACGTGTGCGCGGAGAGTCTTGTTGGCATTAGCTAGACACTTGACTTGCTCTCGAAGATCCTCGTTCCGTCATTTGAGATGAGCATTTGCCGAATCATCGGCAACGTCAAAATTAGCAAACAGGGCGTGCAGGCGACGGACTGGGTTAGTGTTGGCGGCCACAGTGGTCTTGAAGATTTCTTTCTGACGCTTAAAGGATTGTATGAGATGATTGTACTCCTCGTCAGCCATGCGAACACGATTCTCCAGACGCTGGTATACTTCGTTGTGACCATCGACTTGGGTATTGAAAGCATCCAATTCCACCAGCAGAGAGCGTTCATAGATACGCAGACACTTAACTTCGTTTTGGGTAAGTTCAAGCTTCTTACGAGCCGAGCTGCAAGCGCTCTGAGTGCTCCCTCGACGCAAGGTCTCCTTCTCGAGCCAAACTTCGACAGTCTCTTGAGCGGAATGAAGCAGAGAGCGGAGTGTCGCTAGCTCGTCTTCGACGGTACAAGAAGCGGCCACAGCGCTGAAATCTGGAATCTGAAATCTGGAATCACGGAGTTGACTATCTCAGTGAGACCGCGATCTTCTTGAAACTCTTTGCGCATGCGTCGTTTGCCGCGAACCGGAGACGCAAGCTGCATTCCAACAGTGACACGACCCAGTGTTTCGATCTGAATAGACAGAGCGCCGACGACTCGCGTAGCATCTTCGTCGCTGGCTTCGTGCAGAAGTGGCCGGAGTGACTGACGAGTGACGCGGTGATCCGAACGATGCGGCCCTGGCGGCTGGGATGCAAGCACGGCCAAGTAAGCGCGCAGTTCAAGCAGCCCAAGCAGGCTAGAGAGGAGATGAATCGTACCTGTGGTCAGGCATTCCGATAATACAATTGCAATCATATTGAAGGTCCATGCCAAAATAAGCTATTGCTACAAAAACTACAACTTAAGAAATAAATAATTGACATCAATAGTAGTGTATTGGAAAATTAACTAATTAGATGTACAGCACTGCACATTACTTTGCGTTCACGATAGCTGCTACAGTGTTTGCGTCCCAGAAAGGCCGATTCATCTTCAGGAACAACACGGTTTCAAGGTGAATAGGCAGCATACGCTGGCGATGGTGGGAAAGAGTATGTTTCGCCACACTAAAAAGACGCTCCACGGTGTTTGACGTCGGCGGGATGAAAAGCACACCATCAAATACCTTCTTTGCACCGCGCCGCTTTTTTCTAGTCGCCAAGACTCTGTCGGCAAAGCCCTGTGGGCGTCCGTGCCTGGTGTCCGGTGTCGTAATTGCGGGTACCGTCTCAAATGGCTGCAACATCAGCTCCTGGTCGTTCGTCAGCTCGTCCACGGCGCCTGACAGGGCTACAACGCACGCTCGCTCGACGTCCACGTCCTTAATAATATTTGCGTCGGCAGCAAGATACTTTTTCACAACGGAATGCTTCTCGATGAGCGCATCAAAGATATCGCGCACATCGAGAAGCGTGACGTTGTCGTCTTGAAGCTTCATGGTGGCCGACTGGAAGTCGCCAAGCTGGCAGTAAAAAAGTAGCTGCAGACTTGCTTGGTCGTGAAGGTGTTGGCGAGAGCCATGGTAAGATCAAAAATGATAGACGAGCGCCTCAGGTTCGCGTTTTGAGCGACCGTTGCTAACAGACCGAGCTCCGTATTTACGCAAAACAAAGCAGAAAAAACTAGATTTACGAAAAAATAAAGTACTTTGTTGTAAATACAAAATAACTAATTGGAAAAAGTCATCCAATTTGTAAAAATCAATAATTAAGTGTAAACTATTGTATTGAAGCAGCAATACAATGATTATTTCGGAATGCCTGCCTGTGGTGGCTCACGCGCAGCAGCATCATCGGGTGGTGATGAAGGCGTGGGTGAACCAACTGGTGGCGTGTCCTGACGCAGGTGATCCATCAGACGCAGTACTCGGCGAGTAAAATGACGAACAAGTTAAGAAACGCAACGTTGCAGAACAACGTGGTGACGAACACTTACCGAGCTAGCGAAGCATGAGGCGGCAAGTGGTGTGACGATCGTGAACTGAAGAGCACGGAGCCGAAAGAATTGTGAGTAGCAACGACTTTCACCAGTTCCGTGGCTCGGGTCGCTGTGGTGGCAGTTGTGGAGTAGCGTTTGGCGTCTGAGGCTTTCATCCGAAGTTCTGAGTGGCAACTGGCGTATCAAACTCTGTCAAAGGTGATGCCACCGACGGAATGAGACTCGTCGGACATCGTTGGGTCACATTACGGTAGTGCCAGCAACTTACGACGATTGGTCTAATGTCGACTTGGTGACGTCGCGACGTGGCAATTCATCCGGATGGAGCTGAGACGTGGCGAGACGTGAGACAAGAGGGTTAAAGCCGCAGGAGCCGGAATTCTTCCGTGTTCATCGAACTTCAGGCCATCGAAGCGTCGTCGCCAACGACAGTTTCAGATCGCCCCGGTGGCTGAGCAGAGTGCAAGCGTGACTGTATTTCCTGGGAAAGGTATAAGTGGCGCGATCTTTGGGGGAGAAAGATCCAACGACCTTCTGGCGACAAGTCGCGACTGTACAAGCTCCGACATTGTCGGCGACAACCTTTCGAGCCGTCGGTGGAGGTTCGAGATCCAAAACGGACATGTTTGATTCGATATTTGTATTGATAGTAGGATTTAGATATTACATTAAGAGTCTTTGTGCAGAACAGCATTTACTCTCAGCCCCGCAAGGGCACGTCTGACTATCGGTGAGTACGCGGTAGTGGCGGAGTAGTTCGGTAGACTGAAGATGAACATTTCTACTGGTCGTAGTTTGTGTTCATCCGGCAGGACCAAGAGATAAGAGAGAGGTTTGGCCTTACATTGAGAGCGAATTATCGCTGTGTGTTGGATAAGCTAGTGCGCTATCCAAATATTGCTTAACGTTTGGAACTTGACTCCGACAGCCCCGTGTCAGGTCTGAAACGCGTCCGATACCCTATCTTTATAGGGACCGCGGGTATATTTGAGAGAGAGAGAAGAACACTCTAGCCTTTGCTCGTGGCTAGTAGTGTTGCGTTTTCGGTGGCTAACCAGAGGGAACCACGGTGCACAGGGGACATCCCAACCTGGTCGGGTAGTTCTTAGGCTATCAGGTTCAATATCCGCATTATGCCTAGCTAAGCTATCGGAACTTAGTAGGTCTTGTTAGTGTGGAAGTGTGGAAGTGTGCTAGTACATTTTTGGCGTGATCCGACACGACACTGCCAGCACTTCGACGGTGTCGGTAGTGATTGGAATGGAGCCTGTGAAAACGTAATAGTCTTCACGCGTTGGCACACTGCGCAAGCACGTACGTACTTCCGCACCCACTTGTACTGGTGGTTCCAATAGAAGTCCCTCGTGAGAAGAGTGTATGTCTTCTCACGGCCCGGATGCCCTGTCGTAGAGGCATCGTGAAACCCGTACATGGTCCGCATACGCAGATCATATCCATTCGGCACGACGATGCGATCCGCATCGTCATCCACTGCGCTGGAAAGCAGCAGTCCTTCGTGCACACGATATCGGTGTGCACGAGCTCGTAGATGTGGCGACAACTTCCGTCGTGACGCGTCGGAAAGTGCTAAGGCATAGTCTAGCCGTTGTTTTGCGTCTGCACCACCTCCATACGCGTTCTTCACGTCGTCGATCAAAGCCAACGACGGAATACTTTCTCTTTCGACGCCAATACGATTGGCGTCGGCTGTCTCAACAGCGTAATCCGGTCGACGCGACAGCGCGTCGGCCACCACATTCAACCTTCCAGGTTTGTGCTCAACCTGAAAGTCGTACTCCGCAAAGAACGATAGCCATCTCGCCATTCGTTGCGAGAAGTGCGGAGTCTTCACTGCCGTTCGCAGTGAAGCGTGGTCGGTGTAGACCACGAGCGGTCTACTCTAAGTAAGTCCACTTGGAACTTTGCGACTGCATACTTCATGGCAAGGGGATCCTTGTCCTGTACAGGGTAGTTACGCTCAGCTGGCTTCAGCTGACGCGACTGGTAGTAGACCACACGATCATGGGCCTCGTGATCGTGCTGTATCAACGCGCATCCGATCGCAAAATCGGACGCGCCGCACACGATGCGGAATGGGCGATCTTGGTCAGCCACTGCCAAGATCGGCGCCTCAGTCAAGCCCTGTTGGACTGTATCGAAGGCCTGCTGACACTCTGCAGTCCAAATCCACTCGGTTCCTTCTTCAGAAGCTGCGACAGCGCGTTTTGTTCGACTGTGTATCTTGCTGCCGCGGGGGCTATCCTGCCACTAAAATCATGGCAGGATAGAAATGACCGGCAGCAAGATTGGAAAATATTTTTCACCAACCAAAACTGATATTTTTGCAGGTCTTCTCGTTCTATCTTGCTGCTGCCATAATTAAGAACACTGTTATATGGGACCCTGCTCCTGGAGTATTTATCTAGTGTCGTATTCTGAGACACTAAACGAGCGTGGTACCAAGGTAAAGGTCATAGAATGTAGTTTCACGTACCAAAACTACATCTTCCAAGAATTAATGGGTAGTGAGATATTCACCAGAAATTCGATGGACCTTCTTCACATTTTAAATTGAATTTGTATGAGAGGGTAATGGCCCGAAATATGTCCTGGCTCGAAATATGTCCACTACGGATTCACAGTTCGAACTTACCTCCATAATACTTGGAAAAAAAAAACAAGAAAGTGATGGAAGGTGAGTATGGATTGTTTTATTAAAGTAGAAGCTCTTGCTGAAGTGCCTGTAGGGTGATATGTGATAGCTCCTGTAAACAGATCTCTTCTTCGAGAGCGGCTGGGTGTAGTTGAGACTATTCGGCTGATTCTGCCGTAGATCGAATAAGCGTAGAATGCGCTAAACGCAAGAAACTAGCAGGTACGTCTGGTGTGGTTTGTTTACTATAGCTATGGGAGACTTCCATTCCGCAACAACCTTTGAGCGTAGCGTCTCGCCTTGCACTTTGTAGATAGTCGAGCCTACAGCAAATACTATAGGTAGCTGCTGTAAATTGACGGAGAGAGAGATCCTCTGTCCCGCAGGCGACCGCGGCAGGGATATTGATGATTTCGAGCAAGCCTGCACATAATAAAAAGCAGGAAATAGCTCAGGATCTACCGCTTGATCGAACGGGGCGACATTTGGACCCCTATCAATCCGTAGCAGCGCATAAAACGGGGATCTGCTTGGAACCCGTACCAGTATATCTGGTTCGGCGTCTCGGACGACTTTAAATGTGGTGTTTGGCGAGAATACGAAATGTTTTAGAGTCCCCAGTGTTCCATTAGCGGCTTCTTTTGTCGGGCGTACGTTTTGGGTTTTCTGGGTGGGCATTCCTTCTACAAGATCAATGAAAAGCGCCATGCACCAGAAGCATGTGTCTGGCAGCTCCGTCACGTATTCCACTTATTGGCAACTAAGACCAGAAAGAGACCCCTGGAAATTGACTACAACACGTACAGGATGGTTCTCTGGGGCTAACCGCCTAGCACCCATTGAACACTCCCCTCCACTGGTGGCGTCTTAAGAGCTACTGGAATGGGCGACTGTTTAAGACGCGCTTCAACGACAGATCGAACGGTGTAACCGATGAGTCATCGGATGACAGGCTCCTCCCGATTGTGCGATATCTGATTTAGAGTCATCTCGGCTGTAACGGATTACACGCAAGTGGCTACATGTAGCCACTTGGTTACGAAGAAGGTTTTCCACGTTGGTGTGAGATACA